CTTTCTTTCTTTCTTTCTTTCTTTCTTTCTTTCTTTCTTTCTCTTTCTTTCTTTCTTTCTTTCTTTCTTTCTTTCTTTCTTTCTTTCTTTCTGTCATTCATGTATTTGGTTGCTACAGGGTCTCACTAGGCAGCTCAGACTCGTTGCAATCCTCCTGCTTTCAGCCTCCCCAGCGCTGGTGTGTGCACTACACCTGGTCTCTGGCCTGCTTGGCCATCCTGGGGGTGGGGCTGCAGCAGCATGTGGTGCTGGGGATTGAACCGTGGTCCCTGCGCTTGCCTAAACAGGCGCTTTAGTCTGCTGGGCTCTCCTGTGCTTTCTACTTAAGTAAAAGTGAATTTAGGCTACACCATATCTCAAACTTGCTTCTTGTAGTAACATCCTGCTAGACAGTGACCTCTTTAGCCTTCCCCAGTATCCTGTGGAAATTTGTGGCAAGGAAGGTGAATGTCACTAAGGTGGTGAGAAGTGGGGGAATGGTGGGCATGCAGGTGTGTTGGTGAGGTGGAAGAGCCCAGACCGTCACTAGCCCCACCGCTGGCATCCCATCACTTGTGGGACTAGTGAGGGTCTGGGCCCTGCCCTTCTTACCCTCCCTTGTCAGCCAGAGGCTGAGAGAGTCCCACTCCCTGGGTGTGGTCCCTGGCATGGCCATTACCCACACCTCAGCCAGCCCAGGCCTCCTGAGACCTGCAGTTTCTTTTGTTTTCACTTTGTATGGATGGTACATTTAAAGTTAATCCTAGACATTATATCTTTCCACCTATAAATACTTCAGCATGTTTTAAAAGATCTTTATACAACTGACTATAAACAATATTAGATATACTAAGGAATTTTCTTTTTCCTTTCTTTTGTTGTGGTGCTGGAGATTAAGCCAACAAGTTTCATAACAATCTACATCCCCAGCTTTTTCCAACATGTGAATAACATGACAGTCAAAGAGGGAGGTGCCTGTGTTTCGTCGTGAGACATACATGCTGATATATGTAATGTGCAAGGGCAGAGAGCTATGCTTTATTTAAAACCATTTCAGCAAAAGAAAAAAGAGATAGATGAAGTAAATGCAGGGAAGCCTCAGTATGTAATCTGCATGACAACTAGTGAATGTTCACTATTCTAACTCATGCTGCTTTTGAAGTATGTGAGGATTTCTATGACAAAAACTTACAAAGCAACTTTGGTCCGAACATTCTGAGGGATGCATGCTTGTATGTGTAAGGGCTGGAGACCAGCACAGAACTCTCCTGCAGCAACCCCTGCTCTGCTGTGTCAGGTGGGGGAAACACCCCCTCATGTGACTTCTCATTACTATTAGTTCTTATTTTCAACCCTTTCTTCAGCACTGTGACTAAGCAGAGTGCACTGCAGCTAGGGAGAGGCGCCTCCCAGAAGCCCCCCAGCCTGGGGCCCCCAGCACTCAGGCTCACGAGGACACTGACCTCATGGATGTGCTGGCAGAAGGCGGGTACTGTGGTGAGTTGGCTGATGAGGTTCAGGTAAGCTGCACCCAGGGCGTAGAGGGCACAGCGGTTGTACACGGGTAAGTTCTCTTCATTGACCTGGGCCACATCCTGTGGCAAACAAAGATAGGCCTTTGAAATTTTTCAGCGATAAACTACCCTGGAATCCCACCCTCCACACCTCTTCCCGAACTTCTTTATAAGACTCATCTCTTTTTAGGCTCAATAGTCAGCATTTGCCCCATAACTTCCCGGGAGACACAGTCATCTTCGTTAATGCTGAAGGAAATGGAACAATCCATGTGCTGGGGATCTTACATACTGAATAAAGAGGCAATGCCCTCAACTCCCATGTGGTAGTTACAGCTGCAGCAACGATTGTTGCCCAAACCCCATGATCCCAGTGCTAGGAAGCAGTCTCTTATGGTAGAGTGGATTCTCAGAGGATGGGGGTAGGCAGCCTGCTAACCTGGACTCCCAACTGAGAAAGCTGTGAGTCCTCAGGAGCCTGGGACACAAAGGAATCTTAATTCTTTTTTTTTTTTTTTTTTTTTTTGGTAGAACCGGGGATTGAACTCAGACCCTTGCGCTTGCCAAGGAAGCGCTTATTCTACTGAGCCATCTCCCCGGCCCCAAGAATCTTAATTCTTAATTCTTCAGGAATCTTAATTCTTCAGGAGAAATAGAATTAAGAAAATTGTCTAGATCGGCCCTGGAGAATTTAGCACTGTTAGGCTGTGGTCTGAGTCTATCTTCACTGAATTTCCAGGCTTGCCACCCTTGCAGGCTTCAGACTTAGAGGGCCCAGCCTGAGAAGTCTATGGACCCATCCCAACTCCCTTGAGATTGTACTTCACCCAGGCAGACCTTAATCTCAGGCCTGGTCTAGGACCACACTGGCGGCCATGCATCCTGCAGGAGGCTTCATTAAGTATTCATGGTCCCCCTCCTTGGGAGACTCACTTAGCAGCTCTGAGAATATGTGTGGTATTATTATTAACATGTGCTCAAGACAATTCTACAGAACAGCTAAGTCTGAGAACCAGAGAGTCTTTAGACAAGTTTGTTTAGAAATCACTCAGGACTTAGGGATATCCTCGTAGGAATCCCTGGAGTCTCACTCAGACTTGAAATTACAGGCACTCACAGGTATTTCTGAATGACCCTGTTACCTAGGTCTTCTTTAAAGATCTGTGAAAATGAACCACAGCCAAGAATGAAGCACTCTCTGAGGTTTTCCAGATAAGAATACAGCATTGCCAGGCTCTGAAACAACTGCTGAACAGCTGCTACTTCACACTTTTACCAGTACTTGGCCAGGACAGGCCTCATCCAGGATCCTGGTCCCTGGGTTCTGCCCAGCCCAGGCCCACCTGAACAGCCAGCACCAGGCGGATGAGGTCCACCACCACCTCCTCATTGGCCAGCTCGATGCTGATGAGCGCCAGCAGGCCATAGAGAGCCTCGTAGTGCTTCTGGATGTTTGTCTCCTCCTTGCAGCTCAGGTAGATGTGCCTGTAGAGCTGCTGGGAGTGCTGCGGATAGGGCAGGGGCAGAGGACAGCCTCAGTGAGTGAGGTGGGAGTGAATGTCTTCAAAGCAGACCCCAGCAGAGGGGGGCCTCAGTAATACTGGCAACCAAAGCTGCCCAAACCCAGCTGCAAGAGCAGCACATGACCAGTGGCCAAGGACTGGTGCAGCAGGGGTGCTACTGGCTTTGGCCCCAGCAGTAGGGTCACTGTAGGCTCCGTACCTGGGCTGAGGTGGGAGGTGGTTGCTAGTTAACAGACCACACCTATTGCAGAGAGAAGGGCGGGCCCTGGGGACAGTGGGCAGCAGGGAGTCGGGGCCAGGAAGGCTGGGCCCATTGGCATGGCCTACTTGGGACTCACTGTCTACCTTCTTCATGAAGACGGTGTCCTGTCGGGAGCACTTGTCCACTTTCAGCTTCAGGATTGAGATGTCACTGAGGGTACTGGAAGGAGATCAAAGGGACCCCTTAGTTCCTGGGAGAGTCCATCCCGAGCTCACAGTGTCAGTGGGCTTTAACCCCAAAGCTGTAAGTTGGTACCAAAGCCTCCTGCATTCTCCTGACCCTGGTTCTTAGCTCAGTCTCTATTTTCTCCCACATTCTCAAGCTCGTGTTCCCTTCTCTCAAATCTTTGAGCTGGATTTTTCTTTTCTTTCCTTTAGGCCCCTCAAATTCTCTGTCTCTACTGACAACACTACAATCTTTCCCCCAACTGAAAACTCTCCTCAGCACTTCCTTGCCACCCTACAGTCTGCGCCGACCCCAGCCACACTTTCCTTCTGTCTCCTCCCTGTGCAGGATTCCAAGGTCAGTGCTACCCTGAATACGCAGACTGTCCTTCCACCTGCATATGAAGCTACTGGCCAAGAAGACAAGCCCTTCTGGGAATCTTCTCCCCCATCGTGTAAATACAGGTGAGGCCCCAAAGTCACCTTATGGTAGAGAACTTATGGCGGTTGCCATGACGATCAATGAAACTGATGAGAATCTCTAGAACAAAGAGGCGGATTTCTGCATCCTCCATGAGAGCGGTGGAGAGAAGGCGGTCCAGAAAGTTGCTGGGCAGGGCTGACATCATATTACTGCACTGGAAACCAGTAGACACCTGCAGGGAGCCCAGCACAGGTGTGCTTAGGAACAGGACACATCATCTTGGATGCAGCCAGAAGACAGAAAAACAGCCAGCAGAAATGGGGTCTGAGCAAATATCCATCCACTCCCTCCCTCTCAGCTGTGCCACACACAACTTTTTGGAACACTCCAAAATCCACCTAGACAAGCTATTGCGCATGGCTCAGTAGACAGGTGGGTAGATGGGAACAAGGGCAGGGATGCTAAATGTTAAGAGCAAACGAGATGAGCAGCAAAGAGGAACAAGAGCCAGGGAACTCCTGAACCCACAATTGCAGCTGGGCAGGGACAACCACATTGCCACCAGGGCAGTGTGTCAGGGAGTGTAGACAGTTACAGAACAGATAGTGGGAGAACCTGTGTAGCCGGGCTGAAGAATCAGACCTTATAACAATCATCCCAGGGGACACACCAATTGTATCTGGTTGTTCTCTCCTAGCATGGTGACAATGATGGCCTCTGACTAAAGTCAGCTGGCATCAATGGACACATTGTTATGATGCAAAAACATCTGACAGCAATAGGGCATCTTTCCTATTGAAGCCACACTGCAGGACAATGCTGTGGGTCATTCGGTGGGCCTAAGGGTCTAGCCCAGCCAGAGCATCAGTAGTGAATATCTGTGTCCACTAAAGGGGGAAGTATGTGCGTGCAACCCAAAAATGTCACCTCCGTGAGATGCCAAGCACAAATTAATGAGGGTAAACTCAGCAATGCAATGGCAGGAGTGGGAAGATCTAAGGGGGTAATTTTATTACTCCATGCAGGCAGTGTGAGAGCTTTGAGAAATACAGTAATGTGAGGAGTGAAGGCTGGTGAAAGGGAAAGGAAGGTCTGCATGGGCTTGGGGGTCTGCCCAGGCTGGCACCGTCAGACAGACATGGGTGGGGTGGGAGGTGGGCCTGGAAAAGGAAAGGCACAGGGAACCTCCAACTCTCCAAGTCATGTACTGTAAACTGCACTTTACTGTGATGTAAGTGGGAAGATCCAGGAGCGGCATCTCTAGAAAACCTCCCTGTGGCTGCATTTAATAGTCAAAAAGAGATAGAGGAAAGAGTGATATGAGATTCATCTAGCTGTGAGATGCCCACAACCTGCGCAGGGCCAGGGCTGGGGCTGCGTAGAGAGTGCTTGAGGAGCATGTCATAAAACTCTGGCTCACAGTCTCTGGGGAGCCTCACTGGCCATGGGAAGTGGTGTTGAGAAGACTAGATTGAGGCTCCAGTAATGCATGGACAGAAGAGGCAGACAAGCTGGGGTAGTCGCACACTCCCATGTCCCAGCACTGAGAGAGGCTGAGGCAGAAGGATCACAAGTTTGAGGTTTTTTTAAAAAAATATTTATTTATTTATTTATTTATTTATTTATTTATTTAGTGTGTGTGTGGCCCGCTCAGCCCACCAGGGGGCGGGGCTGGCTGGCATGTGGTACTGGGGGATTGAATCGCGGTCCCCGTGCTTTGCTTAGCTTAGCTTGTTCTAAGTAGGTGCTTTAGACCACTGAGCCATCTCACCAGCCCAACAAGTGTGAGTTTTGCTTGGGCAAGTTATCAACTTTGCAAGACCTTGTCTCAAAATATGAATGAATGAATGAATGAATGAATGAATGAATGACTAAATAAGTCAGTCAGTCAAGGGAAGAAGTGTAGTTCAGAATCCCTGGATTTGACCCTCAGTACGAGGCAGAGAGAGAGAAACAGAGAGACAGAGAGACAGAGAGAGAGAGAGAGACAGAGAGAGAGAGAGACAGAGAGAGAGAGAGAGAGAGAAGAAGGAGGAGGAGGAAAAGGAGGAGGAAGAAGGAAGGGGAAGGAGGAGGAGGAAGGAACAGGAGGAGGGAAGGAAAACAAAAGAAAGCCACATAAACTGCTGCTGAAGTAAAAGATGGTGGCTGGGAGATGCAACAGATCCAAGTGCCAAGGGGGAATTGGGAACCGGAGGGAGAGAGGACCTAGGAAGGGTACAAGAAAAGAATAGAGTCTGTAAATTCTATCTCAAGACATACCCTGCCTAAGTGACAGAGCTATTAGTAGCCAATAAAAAAACTCTGTGAAAATCAGAAAAGGTATTTGCCCTGCTTCCAATCACCCCCAGTGTGGTGGAGTCAGCCTGGCTAGTGGATTTCAGTCCCTCATTCATTCTTCGGCTGGGCAAATATATATATTTGTATTTTAGGGAAGGGTCTACAGTGTGTTCAGGGTCTCATTACTAGATCGGACTTGTAGTGATCCTGCTTACAGCCTCCCAAGAGCTGGGATTACAGGTGTGTGCCACCACACCCAGCCTCAATTGCTGTCTCAGTGGGCCCCAGGGGCAGAGCCAGCACGGCAGTCCCAGGGATCAAACCCCAGGCCCATGCGCCTGCTTGCAGGCGCTTTAATATGCTGAGCTATTGGGCCAGCCCTTGACTGGGCATATTTGTACAGTGTGCAACTTGCACAACTATATATGGTGGCTTCCTTTTACTTTCTTGGAAAGAGCTGTGTCCTGCAGAGGCAGAGCAGAAATGGGAATAGGATCGGCTCACCTGAAGGAGGGATTTCAGCAGCATAATCTGGGTCAGCCGGTTCCTGTTCTCCCTGTGGACCAGAGACACACACTCAGCAGGCTGGAGATGTGAACGGAGACCCCACATTTGTCCACTTGGCTTTCTCCACGTGGTAACCTTGGGAACCCAGGACAGTGACTTCCAGACCAGGAAGCACAACTGGGAATTAATGGCTCCCCTGAAGGGGGTTCTGTGGGATCTGAAGGTCCCAAGGGCTGCTAAGGAAATAGGGAGTAAAAGGGAGAAGAAAGGGCAGAGCCTTCGCCTCAGGAAGTAAAAGCACAGGGCGGAACAGGAAGGAAGCTCACCCTGCCCTCCCGGAGTCCATGGCGTGGTGCAGGGAGGGCAGCGGCACCTTGCTCATGATGAAGAGGATCACCTCAGAGCGCTGGTAGGTGGGCAGCGTACTGGCAAAGGAGCCTAGGAGAGAGGCAGAGAGCAACAGCCAGTGAGGACTGCAGCGCCGCTCCTGGCTCAGTGTAGCTCTGCCCAGGAGGAGTGCAGGTGTGAGTGGCTCTGCAGGAAGGGGCCCAGAGTTCTTTTTGGCCCTTTTTGTCACATCCCTGAGGTGCTGTGGTTAAAGCCTTGGCTCCTTTACTAGGAAAGGAGGATGGAGCATGGGACAGGGCAGGAGCTCTTGTATCCACTGGGCCTGGGCCTCAATGCAGCTCCTGAAAGCATCATTCCTGCCCTGCCACCTTCCCAGATTGGAGGGAAGCTCAGAGGGCCCCAGGCAGGAACTCTCAGAGGTGAGGGGTTCCTCACACACTTGTGGGATGACTTAGATGAAATCGGGGACCACCCCAGGGACAAGGGGCAAAATAACTCCTGGACACTTGACCTGTTATTCATTAAAACCACAACTGTGTTTTCTTCTGAGGTGGACTTAATAGTAGTTTTACTAAAACCCCTGACTCTTCACTTGGGCCTACAAATGCCCAAAAGGTAACTAAAAGCAGGACAAGGCACCTGGGATACTGGCATTTCAATATTTTAAAGTTGTCAATAGAGCAGCATTAATTGGCCATACGCTTACCTCGCCTGTCTCATCCTCCTTCAAGATAGAAAACACCAAGATAAGAGTGAGATTTAGGATTCTCGGAACACCCAGTTACTAGCCCTGCATTTCAGACTGACCATTGAGGAGAGGTCTAAAAGTCTCCAGCCACTGTCCTGAACCAGCAGTTATAAGCATCCCACTGTGGAGGACCACCTGAGCAGCTGTTCTTGAAAGAAGAGTGACTGTCTCCATTTTGGCTGAGCACCAGATCCCAAAACATTAGATACTATCTCGGTAGCATAATGCAAATTACTTTCTCTGCGAATGGCAGAGGTAAGTGTAAGCCACCTACCTACCTCAGCTCACAGTACTCACCTACTTCCCACAATTCTCTTCCTCAAACAATTCAACCACTGAATAAAACCCGGATATAGTCCTGGGTCAGCCTCTTTGTTCTGGAAAGTCGTCTTCATGGCTGGACTTAGGGCCCCTTGCCTCCCCAATAGTTATAAATATGTTTTAGTGTCTTTACTTTTGACACAGGTTGCACTGGGAGTGGTAGATTGGAATTAACTTGATGGGATTTCAATAACATATCTTCGGGGTTGCAAATATTGACTTCTTGGACTGAGATGAAAACCTGTCGGGGACTCCTACAATTGGTGTTAAACATGGCCAGAACATGCGACTTTCTCAACACAATGACCACTAACCAAAATCACGTGTGGGCAATCCACTGGACCTTGTGTGACCAAATAAGAGGTAAGCGGAGTATTGTACTAATCATAGTGCTCAGATACAAGTAGCAAATAGGAATCTATTCATCAAGGGTAACAATGGGGCAAGCTCAGTCTTTATCCACAAAGAGAAAAAAATTTTTCAGCGAAAGCAGAGCCTCACAGGACAGACAGAACCATGCCTCAGGCCAGGAAGCTTTCCCTGGAGCTACAAAATCAAGGCTGAGATAATGACTGATGGAGCCAACTCCACCCCTGCACCAGAAAGCCCCCTCCAGGTACTGCTCAACCTGGGCCCATCCCTACCTTCTTTACCTTCTAACTGAAGCTTCGGCCTGTCAGTGGGTGCTGGTGTTCTAGTTTTTTTCTTTACTAAAGTAAGGACCCATGCTAGGCAGAGACAGCTTTGAAGTGCTCCACATCCAGGTGCATAACATTTCCTCTGTGGTCTCCCCTTCCTTCACTTTTGTCTGCACCTCCCTCCGGTCCCCAAAGCATGAGGTAGGCATAGGGGAGGGCACAGAAGAATTGTCTTTCATCAACAGCCCAGGCTGAGAAACCCATCCAGGCTGTTTTGTGTTCTTACTCCGGGGTTGTCGGGGCCAGGCCATACATATCATGGCTGGCTTTATTCCCCAATGTCCATGAATGACACCATAACTACAACAGACGCCTCCTAGCAGCCTGGTCTCCCAGCCCCTCTCCTCTCCGGCCCAGGCCTCGCCCCTCTGGAGCCCCGCCCCGTGTCGCCTCAAGGGAACAGCACCCGCCTGGAGCCCCGCCCCCGGCCCTGCCCCTTCAGCCCCGCCTCTCCTCACCGATGGTCTTGATGACAGCCTCCTGGAACATGCGCTCCTCGTGCTCCTTGATGATCTTGGTGCCCAGGCTCAGTGCCCCGTCGTAGCTCCCCGTCAGCGCGTAGTCGATGCTGAGCCGCAGCTGCCTCAGCAGCGTGTTGAACATCTCCAGCACTGTGGGCCCTGGGAGCAGCGAGATGGGAAGCCCGAAATCAGGGCCACCTCTTGCCATGAAGCAAGGAATCCTCTGCAGGGCAGCTCCTTGTCACAGGATACACAGCCTGCTCTCCCTCACTCTCGCTTGCTCTCTCGCTCACTCGCCCGGGACCCCTTACCCACAGAGCCAGTGGCGGCGATGACTGCTGCCTCTGACAGGACCTCCACGATGCCTGCGCGCACCGTCGCCGCACTGCGGCTGTTGGCATCCAGGTGGCTCAGGAGCTGCTGGATAACCAGGTGGGAGTGCTGCGGCTGGGGGAAGGAAGACACGCTGGTCCCCAAACAGCAACCCCCGCGTGGGCCGGGCAGCCCTCTTCTGGGACCCAGAGGTTGGGGTAAGGAAGCCTGTCCCTGTCCCCAGGGACATCGTGGGCGGCACCAGACCCACGTTCCCTTTCTTGCAGGCCCCCCCCCCCCGGGGCCATCGAGGACAGCCAGATACCAGGAAGGTCCCATAGTGCACATTTTCCTGGTCTCTTTTACCTCAAAGTCCACTTAAAAATATTCTTTTTCCATTGCCCTAGCCCAGAGCCAATTTGAGAGCGGTATGATATTGTTCACATTAAGACAGGTATGGAAATGAGCACAGGTGGGTGTCATGTGACATGGTCACTGCAGCCAGGTGCATAATCTGTAAGCTTGCATTTTGAGTGAATTTTTCATTTACTTTTTCTAGGACTTTTCATATTTTGTCAAAATATTGTCTACTATGACATACTAGGTATGAAACTAAACTGGCACTTTGCCATGGTTGGCTTGAGAAGCCATGGTGCAGACCAGGAGGAGTTAGGAGAAGTCAGAAGACATCTGGCTTCCCTCTTAGGGACTGTCCTCCATCACAGGCACCTTGCCAAGGAGGACAAGTGGGAGGAGGGCAGCCACTCTACCTGAATTGAGTACATGATGATTTTGAAGCAGCGGATGGCGAACACCTTGGGTTCCCACAGGGAATGGTTATCCAGATGGCTGTGGGGGAGAAAAATATCAGGGGGTGATGTTAGGGAGAATACAGACACAGGGCATGAAGCTAGAACCTGCATTCTGTGTTGGGTGCCCTCCCACCTGCTCCCCGTGCGCCACTAGGCATAGCTTTGCCATCACAGTGGAGGGAACATAGGTACCAAAAAGGAACAGACTTGGCCACAGCACTGCAACAGTGCCTCCCCCCCCCAAGCAATCGGAAGATGCCAGGGCTGGGAACATTTCAAGGCAAGGGCTGGGAGAGGCCGGGACTCAGCTCACATGAGAACAGGCTTGATGGCGTTTTTGATATTGCCGAAGGCAGCCCGGCCCAGCAGCTCTCTCAGACACCTCTCTGCCAGCTCTGCAGGGTTCTCCTTCTCTTTTTCTGGTGCTTGGAGAGGAGAGGGAGACCGGCTGGGGAAATAGTCACATGGGTAAAAGGGGGTACGATGCTGGGAGTCAGGCTTTGTGCACCCCTGGGTTTCCTCCACACAAATGGTGATGTCAGGACCAGCAGGAACTTGATACAGCCTGCTCCAGGCAACAGGGAGTCTATGGCCATCAGAAACTTAAGAGATTAAGAAGCCCACAGTGAAGGAAGACTGGAAATCCCTGTGCCTCTGTGGAAGGTGCCTCTAAGCACCATAAGCCAGATGAGGCATTGACCACGAGTGTCTGTGTACCCAAGACCTCATACTGACTAAGTGAAAAACCTCAGGACTCCAGGTCCCAAGACCACCTTAAACAATAGAGACAGCTGTCAGTGCACGGCGATTCCAGAAACAGCCACTAGGGGGCACACCACCTCCCCTGCCAGTCTCACTTAGGAGGCGGCCAGGAAGTGCCAGAGGCAGTGTGTATCTTTACCCAGCATGGGAAACACAGGTGGGACAACAACGTAAACCTTTCCTACCATCCCATTCCACAGAGGGAAAATGAGGGCCAGAGAATATTTAGGGGCTCCCAGAGTAAAGCCCACTTGTCTGTAACTCAGTGGCTGTGACTGATCAGGCACGTTTGTGGTACCAGGGACCAAGGTCAGAGTTTGCACTGAGCTATATATACTGCCCCCTTAAAAAAGTATTTTATGTTAAGAGTCTCTCTCTTTAACTCACTAACTGCCTTGGGCTTGAAGCTGCCATTCAGAGTTTTGGGATTACAGGCGTGCAGCAGCACATCCAGCCAAGCAAGCCTGAAATAGAATCAGGAAGTGAGGGAGGAAGGAAGGTCCAAAGGGAAAGCCCTCTCTAACTGCAGCCTTGGAACACACGCTAAGCCTCCTTTGCCTGCTGCTTCTAAAGAGACAAAAGAACCCGACTCTTGGTCCTCTATGTGCCCTTTGTGTTGGGAGAAGCACCCTTGGCCCAAGGGAGGCCAGCGTTAGGACTCTCCTCCCTCCACTATCCGGCCAGCACAAGGCCTGACCCCAGGTTCCCCAGGAGCCAGCTTTGACTCAGGGCAGAACAAGCCACAAAGCTGCGATCTCGCTAGCCATGTCCTGTGTTTCACCTTCGGGCCAAGCCCCGAGGTCCCCAGGGGCTGGCAGCAGACTCAGGCTGCTCCGGAGCTGTTCCAGCTCACTGACCTTTCTGCCTCCTCCACGTGCTGCAGGTTGAAAAGCAGTGAAGGGACGATCTTGTCCATGTGCTGTGGGTCCCAGATATTGGCCTGCAGTTCATCATTCACCGTCTTCCTCACCACCCCTTGCAGACCTTTGATGCCTGACATTCGGATTCTGTAAGGAAAGGCAGAATGGGATCCTGGAAGAGCTGCTTCTGGGGCCAGGAACACAGGGCAGGGCAAGGGACACACTATCCACCCCAGGCAGAGGGAGACCACCTGCTCCCCCCTCCCCCGGAATGGGACCTGCTGGCTGTTATCCTGTGTGGGTGGCCAGGGCCCAGGGAGCCCAGCCTTCTGGCCCATCCTGGAGACCCCCAGGCTGCCCCTGCCCTGTCCACCCTGGCCCCATCTCCCTTGTTAAAGCTCAGCCCTGACTTTGCCAGGGCCTGGCCAGCAGACCTCCCAGAAGGAGGCAGGGAGAGGAGCAGCTAGCGTGGGGCATTTGTAGGGAGGCACCAAGCGGCAGGCTATCTGAGCACAGAGAGCTATAGCTGAGCTAAGTGGCCAAGAAGCACAGGGAGATCCTGTAACAACTTGGAAGAGGGGCAGGGTCCCCACCTCCAGACCCTACTGTGCTGGCCTTGTGGGAAAGTCTTCTCTACTGCCCCTTTATTTCAGCCTGAAGATACTTTTATTCTCTTTTTTTTAAATGAAACTTTTCCCCCTCCTACATGCTAATTATAAAAAGTCTACTCCCACCATCATCACTCAAAGATAACCATAATTGGCATCTAGGGATGGGGACTGAACTCAGGGTCCTGCACACGCTAGACGAGTGCTACAACCCCAATCCTTTATTTTTTGTGGGGACGGAGGGAGCTACCTGGCCTTTTGTACTGAGCTATGTCCTCAGCCCTTTTCACTTTTTAGGTAGGATTTTGCTAAATTGTGCAGACTGGGCTTGAACTTGGAATTCTCATGCCTTAGCCTTCCAGAATGCTGGCCCAGCCCTTTTTCTTTTGAGACAGGGTCTCACTAGGTTGCCCAAGCTGGCTTTGAACTTGTGGTCTTGCCTCAGCCTCCATAGTAGCTGCAATTACAGGATTCACCACCACACCCGGCTGGTATCTTTCTTTTATTCTATACATAATGTATAACAGAATTAAGAGCTAATGCCATATTTAATTTGTATTGGGTTTTTTCCCCACATAACAATCTAAACACCTTTTTAAAGATGTCAGCCTTCCATGAACACATTAAATGATTATATGATACACTATCCTAAGAACTTTCTTTTTTTTTTTTTTTTTTACTGAGAAAAAAAGTATATATTTAGAATTAGCCAGCTGGACTCAGTTTAGATGATCCCAATTTTGTTGGCAACATCCAACGCATCATAATCGGGAGCCAGTTGAACATATATACCTTCTTCTCTCCATCAGGCCTGAGCAGGGTATTGACCTTGGCAACATCAATGTCATACAGCTTCTTTACAGCTTATTGGCTTTGGCATCCACAGTGAACATAAGTGTGGTGTTGTCCTCGCTCTTTTTCATGGCTGACTTTGTGGTCAGGGGGAACTTGATGATGGCATAGTGGTCAAGCTGTTTCTCCTGGGGGCGCTCTTTCGAGGGCATGTGGGCTGACTCCGGAGCCGCAGTGTCTTGGGACAGTGGAAGGTAGGTGACATTCATTTCTTCTTCTTTTTGTGGCTGTGGATGCCTTTCAGCATGGCCTTCTTGGCCTTTAAATCTTTTGCTTTGGCTTCAGTTTTGGGAGGGGCAGGGGCTTCCTTCTTCGCCTTTAGCGCCATCTTGATAAAAAGCTCATAAGAACTTTCTAAGCCAGGCCCTTTCAAGTTTTTCAAATTTTTTTTTTCTTTTTTTGCCATTACAATAATGAATGGTGGACAATACTGTATATAATATTTTACTACATTTGTGAGTCATTGCCATGCATGGAATCAATGAATCAAAAGACACAAAATGAATGGCTCCCAGCAATGTTAGGTTACCCTGGCCCAAGCACCAGCTACATAGCACACTGCCCCCCTGGCCCCGCAGAAGCACAGGCCCTCATCTTTTTTTTTTTTTTTTTTTCAGAACCAGGGATTGAACTCAGGTCCTTTCACTTGCCAGGCAAGTGCTTATTCCACTGAGCTATGTCCCTGGCCCCAGGGCTCTCATCTTAACATCTGTTCTCATTTTATGGCTCAGAAAAACTCTCCCATCTTGTAGCTATTTCAGTTCTCATCCTTTTGATGATTATTTGCGGTGATTATTCATGTTTCTCTAAATGTATAGTTGCCAGTTGTGCTTCCAGATTCAGTTTAAGTGGAGTTACAAGGATGGGATCCTGGGCCTTATCAGGCAACTGTCACTGGGGGTAGTAGGAGCCTAACAGCACCTATTTGAGGACTCTGTTTAGCTTGTTGGCCATGGGGAAACACCGTGACCCCACCAGGCCCCATGTCAGAGGCTGTCCAGGTTCGAAAATGAAGGTACTATATATTGCGCCATCTGCCGATCTTGATTATATAGGTCAGGGTGCTCCTTGTCCATCCCTGAGAACATCTCAAACATACGGGACTCATCTGTACCACCCAAGAAGGCCTGGCTGAGAAGAAACAAATCTATATGTTGGAAAAATGCCTATCTGAGCTTCCCTCTATGCAAATATATATATATATATATATATATATAATTTATATATATATAAATATATAAAAAATATATATATATTTTAATTTTTTTTTCCAGTGCTGGGAATGGAATTCAAAGCCTCACCATGCTAGGCAGGCACTTAACAATAAGCCATGTCTCCAGTCCTGTGAATTAATTTTTCTTCTATTTTGCACTTCTTCAGCTTCTCCGTGATACCTCCACATGTGTCCTATTCTAGGACATCCAGGGCTGGCTGACTCTTTTCTGAATTAGATGAAAAAAAATCAAGCTTGGGGGAAGAAGATACCTGTATTATTCTGTGATGGGTTCACTGTGTCCATGAGTCTCTGAACCCAAGGGGAGTACAGAGAATACTGGTATGTGGCCTGATCTCTCTCTCTCTCTCTCTCTCTCTCTCTCTCTCTCTCTCTCTCACACACACACACACACACACACACACCCATGGTGGAGATCCTGGGTATTCTCTCAGAGGGTTCCCACAGCAGAGGGATCTAAGAGAATGGACACATAGCATATCAGCCACCACCTGGGCTCTGATCAGGCTGAGGATGAACAACAGGGACAGGGAGCGCAGGGAGAGAACACAAGAGCAAGCTGTCAAAAAGCTGTCCCATTCTCCCTTGCAGCTTCCTGTCGTGGGTGAGAGGTGCCAGTCTGTGGTGCTAATGGTGTTGTCTGGCTGCCTCTCTCCTGATGCTCAGGAAACTCCTGGTGCTGTTGGCACATGCGGCTGACCATTCCACTGCCTGTGTGCATGTACACACGTACATACGTGTGTGTGCCAGTATGGTGAGTGTTCAGCATCTGTGACAGCCATGACTTCTGTCTTCCCTAATGCCATCTCTAGTGGTTTGTGGGTTTTAGTGTTTTTTTGTTGTTGTTGTTGTTGTGCTGGAGATGGAACCCAGGTCTCATGCATGCCAGGCAAGTGCTGGGCCGTGTCTACATGGCAATATCTGCTCAGGACCCGTGTGCACTGCCCAGCTCTCTGCCTCTTCCAGGAGTGAGCGGCTCCCCAGGAAGCTGGCGGTGGGGAAGAAGGGTTCCCTGCTGTCTGCTGCTAGCCTCAGAGGCACTGGACAGCCCAGCCCCAGGAGTCAGCACCTGAGCTGAGAGGCATCAGGGCCTGGGAGGCCTAGATGCTGTGGTCTCACCAGCCTGGGAGTTATCCACACACTGAGGAATAGAGGCCTCCTTTGTATTCCATAGGCCAGCCCGCCGGCTCTCAAGAAGGGGCATGATGGATTCTGGGGCCCACAGAGCACTGGTACAAGGAAGGGTGGTGAGGCCTGGAACCAACCAAGAACTGGCCGGCGGCAGGGGCAAGCTCCCTTCATCCACCATCTCCTGTACTCCTGAAGCTGTCAGTGTGGGCGCTGGCCTAGTGCCTTCTCCAGAACCTGGTTCTATGGGGCCACTTTCTGTATGCAGAAATCTGCCTCTGCATCCCGAGGTTTCCAGCACCACACTTGGTGCGTATCACCTCGGCTTGCTCCCTAGGGGTCCACACTGCACAGAGGCATCAGCATTGTCTTAGTGCTTTGTGGTTTTATGCGAGAGGCTATACTTCGGTATGGATGAGTTTAACTTTGAGTTACATGCTTTTACAAACTTGAGCATGTGGGCACACAACTGTTTTCTCTAATTCAGGATGCTTATCTGAAAGTTCTCTCTCAGTCATCCACTCAACAAATCATGTCTAGAGTCTGCTGCTCTGAGCTGTCTTACTATACAATGACTTCTGATCTTCTAGCACTTGTACTCTAGTGCAGAGAGACAAGGAATACAAAGCAGAGCCAGGCATGGTGGCGCTGGCCTGCAATCCCTGCTCTCTGGGAGGCTGAGGCAAGAGGATCACACCTTTGAGACCAGCCTGAGCATTTTAGCAAGACCCTATCTCCAAATAAAATATTAAAAATAAAAAAAGTTGGGATATAGCCAAAAATAGTAATAGTAATTATTTTAAAAATAAGAAAATGATAAATATTTTTAAAAGGAAATGAGTACTGTGGGGTGGGGTGGGAGAAAGCAGGGTGCAGGGCTACAGAAGCCCTGAGACAGGAATATCCCTGCCCTGTCTGAGATGTCCTGGCTGGAGGAAGTGAGCTGGTGGGAGGAGGAGACAGAAGGAGGCAGGTAGTGGTGGTGGTGGTGGGGTGTTGGCACTTACTGTGGATTCTGCCAAGTAAATGTGTGTACTTCTGATTAAGCTGTGGGTATGTTTTGTCCCTGGCTCTTAAAGTGGATGTAAGGGACTGCTACCTTACACTCAGGCTTCTTTTCTGGCCCTAAAGAGTTTTCCCCTGGGACAACAAGCTGGGAGCAGGGCACCGCCCGAAGTCCACCCACACCCACTAACAGAGGACAGGAAGAGCCGGTGAGAACAGACAGCTGTCCATTCTTTTCAGGACTGGAGAATGAACTGAGGGCCCTCACATGGAGCCAGTGCATCCTTGGACCCTTTTTGACTTTGAGACAGGGCCTTGCTAAGTTGCTAATTGGCCCAGGCTGGGCTTGCACTTCCGATCTTCCTGCCTCAGTTTCCCAGAGTGCTGGGGTGACGGGTGTGCACCACTATGCCTGTTAAGACAGGTCATCTTCTTAGACCCTCAGCGCTTCCTCAGGAGCCAAATGGGCCCCTCACCTTCCTGTACTTACTTTGTCTTGATTTCCAAGTCATCATGGCTTGAATGGCACATTTCACTGAACCGGGACACGAAGAAGTCATAGCTCCGATGATAGGATGGTGTGTCCTCCTCGATGTTGGCGAACTTCACGAACTGTGGGATGGAAGGAGAGGACACACATGACAGGTTACCCTTCTGCCCTCATTCCAGTGTCCCAAATTGCCTGCCACCACAGCAGAGCCACAGAACCACACGTCCAGGACCACCTCCAGCGGCATCCAGTTGTCCTTCCACATGGGCTGTGAACCTTGGCCTTTTGTGACTCCCCTGGTGGGGGGCAGAGGAGGGAGATGAGGGGTTCCCTCCTCCACCCAGGTGCACAGATCCCGTGGCCTGAAAGCTGTTAGTAAGAGCAACACTGAAACTTCTGCGAGAACCAGGGTTGAGGCACGGGGCACCGACAAATGCTGTGACACAAAAACAAATCTAAAATGTGATTAAAAAGATGAAATTGCATTTTGTTGTCAAAAATCTGAGTAAATGGTGAAAGTTTGCCATTTTGGTTCAGTGCGCCTCGATCGGCAGCGTGGGTTCTACTGTGCTGTACATTTACAATTCTAAACAGAGACTTAATTCCAACAGAATCCTGCTGAGAAACAGGCATCATGGACTAAATAGAGGTAAATTACTGAAAATTTAATATAATTATTACAAGTTGCTTTGTTTAATGTTAAAAATTTATTGCCCCAAATGACTCTAAAAAGATTAGATTTACAATGAATTATATTCTCCATTATTTTGTCATGTATTATTAGTTATTTTTTTCCAAATGTGAAATGGGGCCAGAAAACAAGGCTGGGTGTAAGGTAGCAGTTCCTTGGTTTAAAAGGGATATACTATCCTAAAGCTAGCTAGGGTATTTCATAATATTCAGTGTTAACTGTCAATCTATGTTCCTATTAAAGATTGTTAACTTTTTCTGGATGAAAATTAGTGGTTTCCCAAAGCATCATTAATTACTAGAGTATTGTTCTCGCAACAGTAAATCCACAGCTATTCTCTGTTATATGGGCAGGATATCAAAATACAAAGCAGAACAGGTAGGCATGGTGGCACCTCCCTGTAATTCCAGCACTTGGGAGCCTGAGACCAGAGGATTGCTGTGAGTTGGAGGCCAGCCTGGGCTACATTATGAGTTCAAAGCCAGCCTGAACTACATTAATGACACTCTATCTCAAAAAACAAAATGACAAAAATACAAAGTAAATAAAGCAACCTTTCTTCCAAACCACATGTTAAACGCATATATGTGTGTGTGCATATATATACATATATATATATATATATATATTTCATTTTCTCTTCCTTTCTTTTCCCTTTTCCCCATCCCATCTTTCTTTTGAATAGTTTCTTCCCAATTCACAATATCAGTTGTACATTTTGAATCTTGTTTGATTTCTCACACTAGTGCAACAAGATGATATTTATACATGTGGGTCTGATTTATTTTACTTATGAGTATGGTCTTGGGTTGTACCCATTTACCTATAAAAGTTCCAGATTTATTCTTCCTTACAGCTGAGTGGTACTCTATTATATTAAAAAAATCACATTTTTTTAACCCATTTCTCAGTTGATGGGCATTTGGGTTGTTTCCAAGACTTAGCCATCACAAATTGTGCTGCTATAAACATGGGCACACGTATGTCATTGAGGTATGATGCTGTTTCCTTTCTTATTGCTGCTGAAATACAGTGCCACTAAGGCAGCATCTGGGATTTGTCACAATTAGGAGACAAATTACTAGAATGTTACACCTTTAATCTAGAGAAGAACATAACCAATATTACAGTGCATCTCCGGAATCTCTCTCCCCTTCTCCTTTGTATAGTCTTGTGTTTGGGCAGTGGGACCTCGCCCCACTCCCCAGAGCCATCACACATAGAGTGCTTCAAAGTCTGCCACACAGATTGATGACTTCACACTGACAAGTAAACTGGAATTCACCACATTTGTTCACTGGTCATGAGGGAAAAAAAATACCTTCTTGCTTTGTCTGCTGTTGCATACATCTACAAGAGCTGGTCGAAAAATATGGCATGTGTTTAAAGAAAAAATTCTTACAGCAAAAGACATACTGTCATTAATCCTCCACAGAGAATTTCACTTCAAGATAAACACAACTTGTCTCATTATTCTTGCTACTTCCTGAAGCAGTTCTGGAAGTCCTCTCTCATGAGGGTCTCTATCCACCTTGTTATTGGATCTGCAACTGAGTGACTTCTGGCTCCTCCCACAGTCACAATGACCATGAAATGAGAGTCCCTTGATGTGAAGAGAGGATGTACTGAAAGCACAGAGCTTCCCCAGGAAGGACCGGACAGTTTCCTGATAAGATTAGCAAGAGGACAAGCATGCCCACACTCGGCACATCTACTCAGGGCTGTACTGGCAGACAAGAGCCAGGGAAATCAGGTAAAGCAAATGGAAGAGACAGAGTGCGGGCTTGAGAAGAAATGAAACTGTGTGTGCTTACAGATGATGTGATGTTTACGTAGGAGATCCTGAGGAATCCATTAAAAAATCTACTAGAATTAGAAATTTCAATTAGGTTGCAGGATAAAAATTTGATATCAAAATCAGTTGTATTTCTTTGCATTAGCAGTGAGTAATCCAAAATGAAGCTAAGAAAAGAATTCTGCTTATATATTGTAAAAGTAAGTAAAAAAAATCACTTAAGAACAAACATCAGCAGAAAAAAGTGCAAAATTTGTACTCTTAAAATTATAAGGTGCTGCCAGAATCACTGAAAAACATCCAAACAGATGAAGGATATTGTGTGCTCACTGTTTGGAAGGGTTAGTATTGTTAAGGTGACAGTAACCTTAACTTGATCTAGAGTGTTGATGGCGTCAGTATCAAACTCTCAGTGAGTTTTCCTGCAAAAACTGACAAACTAATTTGAAAATCCATATGGACATCCCAAGGGCCTAGGTACAATCCTGGAAAACAGTAAAAGTGGAAGGCTTTCACTCCCCTATTTCAAAACTTACTGTCACAGTGCTATTATAAAGGAGATCCTGTGGTACTGGCACAAGTACCACACTGCCTGGAATAGAACTGAGAGTCAAAAAATAAATTCTTATATTATCCTGGAATAGGACTGAGAGCCCAGAAATAAATCCTCATAATCATGATTAAATGATTTTTTAACGAGTCTCAAAATAATTCAATAAGGAAAGAATGAAAAAGAGACATTCAAAAACAGACACCTACATAAAAAAAAGATTAAAGTGGGACTTATCACACTATATATAAAAATTAATTTAAAATAGATCTAAGTAAAAGAGTTAAAAATATTCAACTTTCAGAAAAAAACCATAGGCTACATCTTTGAGATCTTGGGGGGTATACTTCATGACAACAAAAGCTGAAGCAATAGGGATGGAGAGATATTCAGCAGTCTAGATGTCTGCTTGGCAAGCAGAAGGACCCAGGTTTGATCCCCATTACTGCATACTGTGCTGGTCCCTAAAATCAGGCACTGTGGCACACACCCGTAATCCTAGTGCTGGAGAGGCTGAGACAAGAGGATCACTACAAGTCCAAGACGCAGAGTGAGGCCCTGTATCAAATAAATAAATAAATAA